TTACGTGGCCTACCACTTCGTGGCTGAGTTGCTGTTGTTCCCAAACTCTTCCATTTTGTTATGATAAAGCTGACAGTTGACTGTGGAATATTTAGGAGCGAGGAAATTTCACGACTGGATTTGTTGCACAGGTGGCATCCTATGACAGTTTCACGCTGGAATTCACTGAGCTCCTGAGAGCGGCCCATTCTTTCACAAACATTTGTAAAAACAGTCTGCATGCCTAAGTGCTTGATTTTATACACCTGTGGCCAGGCCAAGTGATTAGGACACCTGATTCTGATCATTTGGATGGGTGACCGAATACTTTTGGTAATATAGTGTATCTCCACTACTTGATGGATTGATTGCAACAATGCTGCTTGTACACCAGGGGCAGATGTAGGATCAGACTTTTAGGGGTGTTCAGCTCCTAATGAGTGTGACATGCAAACATGCAATGCACTAGCTGGTTTTCATTATGGTAGTTGATTGATTACTCCTACTTTTCCAAAAACACCACACTGGTGGTCTCTAAAACTAGGAAACCAAAAGATAAGCAAAAAAGGGGCTTTAAATGGGCATGAAGGTGCCAACTACCAAGCAAAGTTTGTGAAAATGCTTTCTGAAAAGTTATCCTGTACCATGGACAAAGCTTGTCCTGTGTCTCTCTGTTTTGTTTAGTATTTTACTAAATTTTTTAAATAATTAATTAATTAATACTTTTTTTTTTTTTTTTTTTTTTTTTACCAATTTGGTTTGTAAATCATGGGCTTTTTAAAGTTAGCTGTTTTTTAGTGACATCACACACCAACTAAACAACTAGCTTAATCTCAGTAACATGTAATCTCATTCACCTGCAGTTTAACTCACATTTATGTTGATATTCTCCTGACAAGACCCCACCTCAGAGTTTTCACTGGAGCATCAGAGCCCAAACCCATCTCTGGATACGGATTCTCCTCTGTGGGTCTTCAAGGGAAAAGAGAGGAAACGTATGGTCTCTTCAGTGGGTTCAGTGGTTTCTTTAGAGTCAAAGCTCTTAACCAAAGCCAAAGAGCGTCTTCATGTTGTAAGGAGGCGGCTGTACTGTAACTCTTAATGAGACATTATATGGCAGTTTCAATAGATGCTGTGATGAATACAAGCTAGCCAGGTAAAATAACCGGAAATTGCCAACTGGGAATCTTACACAAAAACTTTGTTTGTCCAATTGGTCTGTTCCATGATTTGTGTGTTTCTGTAGTGCTCTGCGTTTACCAGTCAGCAGAAAGGTTGGTAGAGAGGTGCATTCCCACCTGTGTGACATTTCTTCTGCAGGTTTAATCAAATTCATAATAACATTGTTTAAGCCACAGTAATATTATTCCAAATACATCTCAAGTGTATACAATAACATATAGCCCAGGTTATGGCATTAATATTTTAGGAGTGCTGCAATTTGGGGGGTGAAACCCCCTAAAAAGGGTCTTATCTGCCTATGGCTACTTCCACATGGTCTCTGTCTACACTGGCATTTTCAAATGTTTTCCAAAAATTGCTCGTCCACACAGACACAGACAGCGAAATCTTTAAAAGTAAAGAAGGTGATTGGATGCCTCCTCTGAGCGATCACATGGGGGTCTCATGAGCGAAACTGATGCTGACAGTTAATATTTTATGAAATTGATGTTGAACTAGTTAAGTTAAGAACTTGTTAAATCTTATGCACACAAAACTTTAAATGGCAAAACTACTATGAAAGCTAAAGGCATTACAATAAATTACACCAATTCTGAAATTGTCCAGTAACAGACTGACAGACCTGGTGGATCAATGTATGAAAAATCAGGCTTGAAACAGTGAAATAATGTCAGACAACCAAATCATTCAGGATAATAGGAGCTTTCACTTGAGAAATAAATCACACTTGAAACGGTTTAGAGTTGTGTATGATAGCAGGAAATTTTTTTTTTTAATCAAAATGCTGTTGGAAAACTGTGTAGAGATATTGCCAAAAGTTCCAGAAAACATTGTTTGATGTTATCTGTGCTGGCAACCGAACTGATAACCAAAATAAATATACATTTTATTCAAGGAATCCCTGCTTCTTTGTGTGATGATGAGCTGTTTCCCCCTAGAAAAACAATCCTGTTGGTGGTTGATGACTTAATGGAGTCATCCAGTAAAAACAATGAAATAGAAAAAACCCACCACCGAAATCTCAGCATCATCTATGTGGTATGAAACCTGTTTTTTCAAAGAGAAAATGGAGAGCAAGTAATCTGAATTCCAAGTACATGGTTCTTTTTTTTCCCTAGAGACAAAAAAAAATCCTAGAGACAAATTACACATCAGCTTACTAGCCTGTCAATTCTGGTTGTGTATGTTCCATAGAAAAAAACTTTAAAGTATTAGAAAATTAATATCTCTTCACTTAAAGAAACCCTGCTGAATTCATTACACCAGTCTCCACTCAGAAGGAGACAGGTGATATTACATGAGGCCTGCATAGACCTCATATTGTGCTTATACGAATTATATTTAAATATGCTCAGAGGGAACATTCCGCTGACAATGAGGCAGAAAAACTTTACAGAAACAAAAAGAAAAGTAATTAATCAATCTGGAGGATTTCTTCTGTCTTCTGCTCAGCATAGCCATTCATTTTATAAGCAGTTTAATTGCATCTCATAACAGTTAATATGGAGACGGTGGAGAAAATATATTTAGTCCCCAAACACCAGCTTGATAAACTTAGAAACATCTCGATGGGAAATGAAGACTTAAGAAAGACTGCAGAAAACATCTTGAACAAGGCAATGCAGTGCATTTTGCCAAGGATTGATATGAACGAATATGACAAAGCAAAACTCTATGCATCTGCCTTGCAGAGATTTTTAAACTTGGTCAAATTAGGAGACCTGGAAATGACCCAGCTGACCTGAAACAGCAGAAAGCCAAACAGAAACAACAATGACTGAATGTCCACCACCAACCGGATATGAAAAATTTCAGTAACATTTCTGCGAGGAATAGGAAAAAATGCTTCATTCATTATGGATCAAATGTTAAAATCTGGCAACGTTGCTTTGTGGATTGATAATGGTGAATTAATTTTTGAAGTGAAAACTATTGAAGGGTTGGATTTGCTTAAGAATATCACAGCCCCTCATAAAGTAGCTGATTAACAGAGACCTTTCAGATGGAAGGAATTATTACAGGCTGTAGCTAGTCTAAACATGCCTTTTTCAACAATTCCTAATACGGATGTTCAAAGTAAAATATCTGACATGAAAAGACCTAAAGGTCCTTTAAAGGACACCCAGCTTGTTACTCCTCCTCCACCCTCTAAAAAACTAGACCTTCTTTTCCCCCGAACCTGTTTTTAAATCTTCTGATCTTAACTGTGCTGTCTGGTTTGATTTTGGAAATGAGAAAAGAGTAACTCAAGTTGTAATGTTGTTTACAATTTATTTCAATAAACAACTTTACACTGAACATAATCTTGTTAAGCGTATTACTTTAATATGCCGCTATGGATGTAATTTAAATATATCAAGAGAGGTAACACATTGTACACATCTAAATGTTTGGTTTTTATTTACTGTGTGGTACATTTTTTTAACAAAGGATACAACCATATCATCATTTCTTTTAAAATCTTATATGATTAAACAATAATTTTTTAGCTCTATGACACAAAACAAATACACTGTGTTGCCTGCAGGAAACTGAAGTTAAAGTGGAAAGAATTCGTAGTCAGGCAGGTTTCTGTACAAGTCCAGTGGTTTCATCCATGAGGCCTAAAGCTAGCCAATGTTTGGGGGCAGTGGTAGCTCAGTGTTTAAGATGTTGGCCTTCTGATTGGAAGGTTGTGAGCTTAAGTCCCAGCACTGCTAAGCTCCCACTGCTGGGCAAGGCCCTTATCCCTCAACTACTCAAACATATAAATGAGATGAATGTAAGTCAATCTGGATAAGGATGTCTGCCAAATCCCATAAATGTAATATTTCAAGAATACTGTCAAAAATGGCATACATGATTAGATTCACTGTTCTCAGAAGCATTTTTCAAAATCTGAGTTCCAAATGAATATTCCCTGACTTTATTAACAACAAATATTACTCATACTTGTTGGCCGAATTTTCCTTTGTTTATTACCAAGGGTTGAGCCTTTAGCTGCTTTTGTGAAGCTAAATCAATGAATGAAATCCACGAACCACATTACTGGTCTGAAAACTGGGTTGAAATGGTTTTGTGAGACTTGAGTATCATCAACATAAAGGGCTATAAACTCTGTATTGTAAGGTTTAAAATCTAACCACCTCAGTCATGGTATTGAGGGTGGAAGAAAGCGCTGGTCATTCACTCCCCCCACCTACAATCTCTGCAGGACCTGAGACTCAAACCCATGACTTTCAGGTTATAAGTCCAATTCTCTAACCATTAAGCCATGACTGCCTTTGGCATTAGATAATGCTTGCGCATGTCAGAGAGAAGAGAAAGCCTTGAGTAAAAAAAGAGAAGCTTTGAGTATTTTCAAAATGAAATTTTTATTTCCTTCCTTCATCAAGCAAAATACATCTACAAACCATTTTAATCAACAAATCAACTGTTTGTCTTGAAAATATATATCTGTCCAATCAGGTCAAAGGTGTTGCTTTCTGTCCACTTTATTTAAGGCCTTTGTTTCGACCATCCAGGTCAGTATTATGCATATGCCCTGCTGTGTTTCCAGGGCATCTTTTCCGTAATTCCATAATTTAGAATACATTCATAAGCTCATAAGTTCCTGGCTAGACAATTAAAGTTGTTATAGAAGGTAAATTATTTATAATTGCACTATCCAGTGTCACTCAGATGTGGATGAGTTCCCTTTTGAGTCTGGTTCCTCTCATGGTTTATTCCTCATATCATCTCAGGGAGATTTTCCTTACCAACATTGCCTCTGGCATGCCCATTAGGGATAAATACTCATTTCGGTGTAAGGTAATATGAAAATATCCAATTCTGACCTGGCATACTCTGATGACAGACTGTGTAAGAAAGCCATAAAAAAGTTCAGCTGCTTTCTTTTGTGAGAGATTCCATACAGATTTTATTCAGAATCATGCGTCAACACCCAGTAGGCCCTTTTAGCTGTTTCCACACAATCAAAACGAGACCTGATCCATCGTGAACCTGAGACGGAATAATGGTCATAATGTTGCTCAATACATTGCTTACAATACCTTTAGCCACTGTTTTAAATGAGGCTTTGCAAAAGCAAAACCCCTTAGTGCAACATTAGTCTGAATTTCAGCAAGTTAATCAGCAAAATTACCTGGTTCATTGGGATTCATACCAAGAATATATGAAAAGTTTTCTTGAGGCTTTAATGCCCCTCCATGTCCCTTGGGGATTTCCCCTTGGAGAAGTCGTGGTATGAGGACCTGACGCATGCCTTCGACCAAGTGAGAGTAGTTGATTGGTCAGCAAATTCAAACTAATGTTGCACTATCCCATCCCTATGTTTCAATTATTAAGTATAGGTTATATCAAGTGACACAGGACACTCAGACTAATGAAGAGACGACGACCCAGTTGTTGGTCCCAAAAAGCCGTAGGGCGCTTCTGTTACACATGGCTCATCATAATCCCATGGCTGGGCAAGATAAAACACTCAACTGCCTATTGGCTTATTTTTATTGGCTGGGCATTTGCGGTGTTGTTCGCAGGTGGTGTGCAGCATGTCACAAATGTCAGGTGGTGAGTTCACCAGCCTCCCCAAAAGCGCCATTGCACCCCCTTCCATGAATCAAAGTCCCCTTCAAAAGAACTGGTATGGACCTTGTTGGGCCATTAGAAAGGACTGCACTAGGTCATTGCTTTGTGTTAGTTTTAGTGGACTACGCAACACGATACCCAGAAGCCGTGCCTCCCTACAACCTCTCTGCATGCAGTGTAGTGGAGGCACTGTTGTGTATTATCTCCTGAGTGGGGATCCTGAAAGCGGTCCTGACCGATCAGGTCAGGTCAGGTCCTTCATGTCACCAGCCCGCTGACTGATCTCACTAAAAAGGCGATCTGGTCCAGTGGATGGAGCCCTGTCATTAGGTTTTTATTCAGGTAAAAGCTGCACTCTGTGGTGGGCCACTCTTACATTCTCCTGACTTCTCTCTCCCCCTTTTATTTTACAGATGGACACATCGAATAGGGGACTGGGGGCCATGTTGTCCAAGTTGGAAGAGGGGGAAGAGCACCCCATACTGTACATCAGCTGCAAGTGTGAGAGAGTAAGTATAGCATGATAGAAAAGAGTGTCTATCCAACAAATGGGTCACCCTCCGATACTATCTGTTGGGATGGGCCTCACCCTCAGATCATGCCCTGCTCCAGTGGCTCCACCACATGAAGGATGCCAATGAGCAGATCACTCTTTGGTATCTGGCACTTCAGCAGTTTAAGTTTGAGGTGGTCCACAGGCTGGGGGTGCAGATGAGAACCTCTGGAGAGAAAGCTGAGCAGCACAGAGCCATGTGTGTGCATGTGTGTGCCTTATGAATAAGTTCACTGAAAAGCAAAAGTAAAAAAACAAGAATAAAGAGTCTGATTGAGTTGTTCCAAACCTGCCTCCCATCCAACCCAGGGGAAGTGTAACGTTAATCTAACTTTGAATGTCTCCCAATTAAGTTCATGCTTCAAACACTTCAAACACTTATGTCTTACTTCCCCTTTGCTTTCAGCCCTCCTTGTGGCATACTGGTAACACGCTTGCTTCTCAACCTGGCAGTTGTGAATTTGTGCCCGACTACAGGCAATTTTTAATTTGTGATATCTCTCTTGTTTTTTCTCTCTATTTGCTTTGCACTTGTGCCTTAACTATTAAGCACTGGTTGGTGGCTCACTCGTTTTGCACAGGTTTCCCATACTTTACAATTGGTCCAATGCCAACATGTACTGGGTTTGATGCCAATGTGAGGTGAGTCACCAGATTACAGAATGACCGTGATCCATCATCATGCAGAGCAATCAGACTTAGACCAAGTAAAATGCTAGCTAGAGTACTGACATTGGAGGGCATGAGCAGGCCTTACGGGAGATATTGTCTCAGCTGCAGGAAATTACTGCAGCTCTGCAGGCTGCTTGTCCCCAGGCACAGCTGGCCCTCAACTCAGCCCCCTCGGTGGTTCCTGAACAAGCCGCTTAAACTGAACCATACCTGCCCTCTCCAGAGGCAGATTTGATGGAAACCCAGCTGTTGGGGCTTCTTTCTATGGCAGAAGCTTTTGTTTTGTTTGCCATAGGGTGAGTGTCAGACCTCAAACCCTGTCTGACTGAATTCCCCTTTATGTTTAGCCCTCCTTGTGGCATACTGGTAACACGCTTGCTTCCCAATCTGGATTGGGACCCACATTGCATGCTGCAGAGTCTTTTTCTTTTTAGGTAGTTCACAGACTAACTATGAATTCTAGAAGTAGTATCTTTTTGTTTTTGTTTTTTTAACACTTAAAGAGACATGAAGCAGTTTCTTATCTCATAACAGATAAATTAAAGAAACATAACTAAAGTCACAACAGCCTCCCACCTGATGAACAACAGTTCATAACTTATTTAGTCCTTAATCTCTAAAGGATACAGTAGCTGAATAGGTCTTCTCAACAAAATCCCATGACAGGTATTTTATATATCTGTCTTGGCAGTTTGTCATCTGAAATGAGCACAATGTCTCACTCCTTCAGTGCAGTGGAAGTAGAAGTGCTACACTTATGGGCAGAGTTCAAATCCATCATGTAGTCCCTCTTCCAGTGGTTCTAAAGGTTTGTCAAGGGTCTCTCTTTGTACTTAGAGGAAGTGATATGAAAATCTCTTTTCAGACTGGACATGTGAGTTACAGGTGGGAATATCTTTTGAAGAAGGGAAGTGAGCCTTTTACCAATGAGAAAATGAGAAGGCATAAGTGGATTAGGCATCCAGGTCATTGTGCACATAAGTAAGGAAGAATTTAGAACAGCCTCCACTTCTGTCAGTATGGTGAATTGCACCTCAAAATTCAGTGCAACCCTTCCAAGCACCCTTTTTAGAGAAGTCTTCACAGACCTCACACCTTTCCCAGAATCCACCCCACCAAGCAGCTCATTCCACAATGAATTTCCATGTGATTCCTTTGTCTGAGAAATTTCTTCCTCCAACATGTTCATCAAAAAGGGTTTCAGTTCCTTTAATTTTTGAGCCTTTGTTATGTTTTGTCCTGATTTCAGGAGATTGATTTCTTTACGGAAACTCTGCTGCTTTGTGATTTGTATCCACCATGCTTCAGCCACAGGGTGTTTTGTTTTGTGACTGACAGTCAGCTGAACTGTAACTTGAAACTTGGATCTTAACTCTGTATTAACCTCATAACCTAAAAAACTCTTGGATTTGCTGTCATTCAGGTGCTGATAACAGAAATGAAGATCCACTTCACCACAGCTGACTATGTAAAAAGTTACCTGCAGTCAACCTTCTTGTGGGAAGGTCAGCAGGGTTTGTCTTTCCATCACAGTGTGACCATGACTTACTGTGATGACAGGATTTGTGAAATTTTGAATCTCAGCCACTCGAGTTGCAACAAAGGGTTTCCATTTCTGAGCTGAACTCTTAAACTAATTCTTTTCCACGTTTAGGGGTTTCAAGAGGTTGTTTCTTAATCTAGCACCAATTAATGCTCCCATTAGTTCTAGATGTAGTAAAGTAATTTTCTTCAGTGGGGCCACTGGACTTTTATGCTATCAGACTGGTGACTATTATCTACTGCAGATATGCAGCAGCACTATAGGCCATTTAACTGGCATCAAAGAAAACATGGAGCTTGCTGAACTTACTAGTTTTCTGCACATCAATCTACCACCTGAGTGAAATTGAGGTAGATCCATACACCACTGCTGCCATTGCTATGCAAGAGCTACTGGTATGTCCTCATGCCAGCTAATTCCCCTCTCCTACATTTCTTGAAACAAGCACTTCACCCTGAGGGTGAAAGGAGTGAGGAAACCAATAAGGTCAAATATGTAGGCAGAAAATCAAAGCACACTTCTCTTTGTGCTTTCTCTACTCTTCAGAATGTCCACCAGTTGTTTCTGATCAAATACAAAGTCATCTTTCTCTGGCCTCTACACTAACCCTGATACTTTAAGCACAGTTTGATCTGAATCTGGGTCCATGTTGCATTCACCTGTGTTTTCTGCTCACCTTATTATGAAGTCTGCAGAATTAGTCATCCATTTGTCAACCATTTTCTGCAGTTCATGCAGAAGAGAGAAGCTCCTTTGCACTGGTAGTGACAGTAGGCTTCATCTTCATCATGCAAACCTGCAATGAAATTATCCACATGAAGTGACTCACTCAGTGTCTCTACAACTGTGGGCTTTTGTGCTTCATATTGTTGAAGATGCCTTCTGAATGTAGCTCCAAACAATCTCATTTTCATTGTCTTTAGATGG